CAAGCGCAAGGGCCTGAGTTCGATCCCTGGTTCTAAAAAAAAAAAAAAAAGAAATTGCCCAGCTAATTCTGGTTTTATTCTTTTATTTATGCATTTTTTGCAAAAGGATTTCACTATGCAGTTCAGACTGGCCTTGAACTCACAGTGACCCTCCTGCCTCAACAAAATGCTAAGATGGGGGCCAGGGAGAACCAGGATGGGGAGATGGTCCAGTAGAATAAGCCTGAGTTCAATCCCTGGTTCCACAAAAAAAAAAAAAAAGTGCTAAGATGACTGGAGTAAAGAACCACTCCTGGCTCTGGTTTTATTGTTTAAAACCAGGGACTCAGAGAAGAAAGTAGCTCAAGACAAAAAACAAGAGACCTGAAAGATTGATGAATTCTCCACACACAACCTTATTCCTGAGTTTGAACCATAATCCTTATGAAATTCAAGAAATCTCTGGTTGGCCAGGCATGGTGGTGCATGCCTGTGTTCCCAACACTCAGGAGGCTGTGGCAGAAGGCTGTGTCAGGAGCATTGTTGAAAATTTGAGACTAGTCTGGGCTACAAAGTGAGCTCAAGGCCAGCCTGAACTGTACAGCAAGTCCCTGTCTCAAGGAGAGAGACAGAGACAGACAGATGTATCTCTTTGGCATGTTCAAGAAAACTACCATAGATTTCTTTCTTGTTTGAGACAAGGTCTAGATGTGTAGTCCAATCTGGCCTTCACTGAACTCATGGCAATTGGGGCTGGGAGATGGCTCAGTAGAATAAGTGCTTGCCTGGCAAGCGCAAGGGCCTGAGTTCAATCCCCGTTCTGCCAAAAAAAGGACTCATGGCAATCCTCTTGCCTCAGCCTCCTGAATGTTGGGATTACAAGCATGTGCCAACAAGTCCCACTCTCACAAATTTCTAACTGCCAGTAGAATCACAAATCACCTAAAATTGTAAAAATAATCTGGAGCAAATGTACTTTAATAAAAAGATATACACATTCAATTTTCTAACTAAACGATCTTTGGAGATCATATATGGCCCCAAGGAAAATACTCTTTAAATACTGAACAAGTTGTTTTAATACTAGTTACATTTTAGGGGGAAACAGTGTAGTTCAGTGGCAGAGCATGCCCAGCATTAACAAGGCAGTTGATTTAATCCCACAAAGAAATGAAAACAAAAAAGCCACGCGGACCCCTGTAACCCCAGCACTCAGGAGGCAGGAGAATCACTTGAGTTGGAGGTCAGCCTGCGCTACAAAGTGAGCAAAGGCCAGCCTGAGCAGCATAGTGAGACCCTCTCTCAAAATAACAAAAAACACCCACAAAAACCCAACACTGTTCCTTACATCATCTTCATTAAATGGACATTTAACGAGATGCGAGAAAAATAAATTCCAACTAGATGCAGGAAGATGACTCAGTAGAATAAGCGCTTGCCTGACATGCACAAGGACCTGAGTTCAATCCCCCGTTCTGCAAAAAAAAAAAAAAAAACCAGACATCACTTTTGAAAGATATCTAGGGCTGGGGAAATGGCTCAGTAGAATAAGCGCTTGCCTGGCAAGCACAAGGGCCTTAGTTCAATCCCCATTTCCCCCAAAACAAAAGAAAAAAAGAAACAAACCAACCAACCTGAAAAATAGCAGCTAAAGTGTCGGACTTTCTAGTTAAGAATGTGTAATTGGGGGCTGGAGAGATGGCTCAGTGGTCTAAAGCACCTACTTGGAACAAGCTTGGCAAAGCACAGGGACCGCGGTTCGATCCCC